AGACTCAGGATCTCCAGCATCCAGTTAGTGCCTGGGGGTGAAAGGGTTAATGGGCCTGAAACAAGCCCTCAACCTGCTAGGTCCCCCTCTGCTCCCAGAGCTGAGGAGAGAACCCAGGAGTCCTGGCTCCCAGCCCCCATCAGCTGAGGTGCATTGACCGTGCTAAAATCAGAAGGTCTCATTTTGCTGTGACAGGGGTCTCCTGGCCCTGCCGGTGGCTCTGGAGAAAGCCTGTGATCACAGTGTGTCTGCAGAGAGCCAGCCTAGCACCAGGTGAGTGAGTTGGGCCCCAGGGAGCAGCCTGCTTTGTCTCACCCTGGGCTGGGCGTGTGTGTGTGCCCGGGGTCTGGCATCTAGAAAATCAGGTCATGTGACGGGTTTGGTGTTTCCATCTAATGTCCGTGTGTGTGTCAGGAGCCCCCTACACACACACACACACACACACACGCTCTCCCCTACCTGACTTGGGGTAGGTGACATTGAAGATGTCGTCGTCCCGCACCTGGAATTCGTTCTCCACGTAGCTCAGCTCCTTGGGGGAGTAATCCAGGCATGGGAACAGTACCCCCTTGTGGGTGAAGTATTCACGCGCCATGGCAGGGCAGGGACAGAGACAGACCTCCCGGTGTCAGTGTTGGTCCCTATGCGCTACTAGGGGAGCTGTGCTGCAGGGAGCAGTGTGGGGGTCCTCTCTCCTGAAAGTCAGGCGTCTCCAGCGCCTCAGCCGGTAATGGGAGGCTCAGCTCTGCAGGGAGCAGGGTGAGACTATTACTTGGCTCTCCCACCCCAGAGCCAGCTGCACCTTGGCACCAGTTGAGCTGATTCCTTGGCGTGTTCCCGGAACGACTCAAGGGCCTGTGCTGGTGTCTGCAGCTGGGAGAACAGTCCCGTGCCTTGGTGGGAGCCCTCTGTGGGGTTGTGTGACAGGTCCAGGCACTGTGCTCCCTGCTCCTCCCTCAGGAACCCTTGAACCCGCGCAGAGCCAGTGCCATTCACCCTTTGGAGGCCCTGCCAGGCACAGCGACCTTTGGACCTGGGAGGAGCTGGTGCCTATAACCCTCCAAGGGCCCTGCACTGTCCCAGCAGCTCATGACTCCGGGCTGCCTGTCCCTGGTAGGTCCCTGCACCTCTTCCCAGCTGTGTCGGGTGCCCAGGGTCCTGTGTGGGAGTGGAGGGGGCAGGGGTGGGGCAGATCCTGTCATTCCCCCCCGAGGAAGGGTTGCTGATCTATGTGCTTTCATGGCAGTGGGGGATGGTTACTAGGCTTGGGAAGGGTGGGGGTTTAACCCCCTGCTGGTCGCTGCTGAGATCTCCCTGAGGTGAAGGAAACTGTCCGTGGGCTCTAGGCAGGGAGAGACTGGGCATGTGGGCAGGGCCGGCTCCAGGGTTTTTGCCGCCCCAAACGACAAAAAAAAAAAAAAAAAGCTGGAGTGAGGGACCGTCCACCAAATTGCCGCCGAATGGGACCGTACGGAGCCAAGAGTGGGCACGACCTGGGAGTCTTTGACAGGGCCCCAGCCACCATGACCCCAGGGGGTTGGGGAACAGCACTGGGGAAGGGGAAGGAAGGCAGCTCAGCAGGACTGGATGGGGCAGCAGGGGCCTCCCCCCGAGTAATTTGGGCCTGGCCCACATCTGGCCCCTGCATGCAGTGAATTGGAGGGTCTCAGCCAGGCTCCTAGGGGTCCTCAGGATACTTTGGTTCCATTCCCAGCCCTGCCCCAGCTCCTGGAGGGGTCAGTCTCCCTCGGCCCTGGGCTAGTGACACAGGGATCAGCTGTTCTCGTTAGGTCTGGCTCGAGCACCAGGGCTCCCACATGCCCATGAGACAGGGAAGCCACCCCGCATCCGGCAGACACAGCACCTGGCTCAGCAAACAGCCCCTGGGAGGTGGATTGGAGCTGGGTCCCTGTCAGCTGTAGGGGGCACAGCCCTGGAGCCGGCTGCTGGCTCTGTGGGGAGCCAGCCTCATTTACATACATTAGAATAGTGCTTACCCCTCTTCTGAGGCCTGTTATTGCCCAACCAGCTCCTTATCTGGCCCAATTGCCCTGGGCATCTCTCCGGAGAGGCAGGGCATCACAGCCATCCTCAGGGGGAAACTGAGGCACGAGGGGGCAAGCTAAGTGCTTTGTCCAAGGTCACACAGGCAGTTTGTCCCAGAGCTGGGAATTGAACTGTAGAGCCCCACAGCCCAGGGTAGCACCCTCACCACTGGGCCAGCCTGCCCCTCTGGTTTGGCTGCATAAATGGGATTAGCAGAGGGTTATTGCCACGCTGGGGAGAAGCAGGGGATGAGGCAGAGCTCTGTAGGGGGTGATTTCTGCACCCTATGAGGGGTCCCCATAATGGGTTTGGAGGGAAGTGTTGTATAGTGTATAGAACACTGGTCTGGGACTTTGGAGAGCTGGATTTGAGTCCCAGATCTACTGGGTGACCGTGCCTCAGTTTCCCCATCCCTCCCCCCATGGGGGCCATGGCCCAAGGTGTGCAAAAGGCTCTGGCAGCAGCTGCTCAACCTGGGGTTCGCAATGGAGCAAACACCTGCCATTTCCCACCTAGAGCAGGATAGAACCCAGGAGTCCTGGCTCCCAGCCACCACCCCCCTTAACCACTAGACCCCACCCCTCCCAGAGCCAGGGATAGAACCCAGGTGTCCTGGTTCCCATCCCCCTGCTTTAACCCACCCGATCCCATTCTCCCATCATCCCCCATTCCATTTTGATCAGGTCCCATCTCCACATGCGGACACTAAAGGGTTAAGCAGCTGGCGATCTCTGTGGCACACAGGTCTGCTGCCCCATTTACTCAGCTAATCCCAGCTGGGATCCTTCCTCCTCAGTGGGGAAGAGCCTCTGGCCCAGGCCCAGCCCAGCTCCCAGCACCTACAAGAGGAGGTGTGGGAGGGGCAC